GAGATTGGATAACTATTTGTCTGAAATGGTGTAGGGTTTCCTGCTTGAGCAGGGGGTTGGACTAGAAGACCTCCAGGGTCCCTTCCGACTCTTATTCTATTCTATTTTATTTCACAGGCAACACAACTAAGCATCAACTCCTTTTCTTTCTGGCTGCTACCTGCATTTATCCACCTTTCACCTCCGAGCTCCTCCCCGTCTTCAATTTGCACATTTTCTCACAGCCTCCCCCACCCCCCAAATTCCACAGTTCTTGCACTGACACAAAATATACTATGCGCAAATATAAAAGGGCAGGGGGCTTTTAATTTAACCCCTCCATCCCACAATCTCCTACAGAACCAATTTGAGCGTTCAACCAAGCATTGCAAGACTGACTAAACAGAGATTCACTGGAGTCCCAGAATGATCTGAAGATCTTTTTAGAGAAATGCTAAGGCCACCTTGAGGTTTATCTGTGTCACCTTACTAAGAACCATTTGCACCACTCAGGTGACTCTCAGGACACAAATAAACCTCCAGGTGGCCTCAGCGTCTCTCAACAGAATGCAAATGACCAGCTGTCTGCAAGGAATATAAATCCTTCCATTCTCCCCCATCCTGTCAGAGGCTAAAGAAGCTTCTTGGATGAGAAGCGAAACATCTTCAAAAGAAAAAACAAGAAAGTCCAGGTGCCTCCTGAAAAAGCACCCTTGGGACTGATCCAATTCATACATTATGTTAAATAGGATCCAATTATGGATCGCAGAATACTAAAGATAATGTGTGTCCCAAATTACCCACATCTGGCTGAGACACATCCAGAGCTCATCCATTCTCAAACCATCTTAAAGGTAAGGGTAAAGGTTCCCGTCACACATATGTGCTAGTCATTCCTGACTCTAGGGGGCGGTGCTCATCTCTGTTTCAAAGCCGAAGAGCCAGCACTGTCCAAAGACATCTCTGTGGTCTATTTTTCTACTTGCATTTTTGACGTGCTTTCGAACTGCTAGGTTGGCCGAAGCTGGGACAAGTAACAGGAGCTCACTCCATTACACGGCGCTAGAGATTCGAACCGCTAAGCTGCCGACCTTCTGATTGACAAGCTCAGCGTCTTAGCCACTGAGTCCCTCAAACCATCTTACTTGACTTCAAATATGCTTCGATCAACAAAAGGACACTCTTAGTACATGACAATTTTGCTCCCTCCTTTATTGTTTGTAAACCACAGATGAAATAAGAAAAAACATGAAGCAGAAGCATATAGGAAACGATGCACGAGTGGGTGGTTTTTTTCCTTCCTTTGTTGTCACAGCAGTGCCATCATTCTGTCTTCCCGTTCTCCAAGGAGCAGGTAACTGGCTTCTTGGTGTGTGTTTTCTGTCCATCACCCACCTTGGCCCGCACAATGCAGCTGCTTCTAGATCCGAAAACCATCTTAGCCTGCAGTGCATCAGTCTGGAAGTCATGGTGTGGGTGGCTTCTCCGCACTCAGAGCTTCCACATACCAGTCAGGCAGGACACAGTATTGCGAATCCTGATGCACCGTGAAGGAAACCGGGTGTCCTGGGTTCCAGGCAAAGAGATGGACCAACCTGGAAGAGAGGAAGGAAGCAGCAAAGTTTTGAGATCGGGGCAGCAAACATTCAGTGCCCTGAGAAATAATTCCCACCGTCCATCACCAGGGTGGCAGAACCTAGAATTGCTGGTCCCTCTCTCTTTTAATGATCATCTTTGGACACCTCACTGATGTTGCTGACCTCTTCTATCGTGTTTCCCTGAAAATAGGACCTAGCCCCAAAATAAGCCCTAGCCTGGTTTTTTTAAAGTGTGTGCCTAATATAAGCCCTACCCCCCCAAAAATAAGCCCTAGCCTGGTTTTTTTAAAGTGTGTGCCTAATATAAGCCCTACCCCCCCAAAAATAAGCCCTAGTGAAGGTTTTGCACACAGGAGGCTGCAAGTGTGTGCGGCAGGGGTGAAATTCAGCAGGTTCTGACAGGTTCTGGAGAACCGGTACCAGAACTTTTGAGTCGTTTG